GTCCCTTTTCTTTTTTTTCTTTTTTTTTTGAGACAGAGTCTCGCTTTGTTGTCCAGGCTAGAGTGAGTGCCGTGGCGTCAGCCTAGCTCACAGCAACCTCAAACTCCTGGGCTCGAGTGATCCTTCTGCCTCAGCCTCCCGAGTAGCTGGGACTACAGGCATGCGCCACCATGCCCGGCTAATTTTTTATATATATATATCAGTTGGCCAATTGATTTCTTTCCATTTATAGTAGAGACGGGGTCTCGCTCTTGCTCAGGCTGGTTTTGAACTCCTGACCTTGAGCAATCCGCCCGCCTCGGCCTCCCAAGAGCTAGGATTACAGGCGTGAGCCACAGCGCCCGGCCGGAAGGTCCCTTTTCATTGCTATAAAAAAGTCACACCGGGGCTGGACATCCCTGTGATTTCCTCACGCAGGTTCCATCACAGGAAACTCCTCAGTGGCCCGCGTTGCACGTACTTAGTAACCAGACTCACTCCAAGGCCGCTGGAGAATTTGTCAGAACCACCTGAGAGAGGGGTTGTGTCATGGCGGCATAAAACGCGTATCTGCTGGGCTCTGCCCCCAGCCCCCAGGAGATTCACAGGGCCAGAAAGGGACAGAGGATAGACAGAGATGGGATGTGAACAGGAACGGAAGGCCACAAGTTGTAGACTGGTGTGCTTTTCAGTAGAATCACGTTCCCCTCTGTGTGAACCTGGCGGGCACTGGCGTGAGGCTGTGTGCGTGGGCCCCTTGGTGGCAGGGCAGCCTGGCAGTGGGTGGTGACGTTGGTGTCCCTGTGGGCGCCTGGTGGGGAGCACTTTCCTTGTGCAGTGCACGTCCCCTCTGCTGGGCAGTGGGCTTGTCTCAGTGCCAGGGAGAGCTGGGAAGATGGATGGGTTCACGTTGTCTCTCACGTGGGCAGCGGTGCTGTGTTTGGACTTGCTGAATGTCATCTGAGCCCTTCCATCTCTATGATCATTGTCACTATGGATGAAATGAGCTTGGAAATGAAGTAGTATGTCTTTGGAAAAATAACTTTTCCAAAGATCTTCTTTTGGCTTTTAAAAGCTGATTTTCAGGCCAGATGTGGTGGCTTAACACCTGTAATCCTAGCACTTTGGGAGTCCGAAGTGGGAGGATTGCTTGAGACCAGCCTGGACAACATAGGAAGACCCTGTATCTACAAAAAATAGAAAAATTGTTAATAGCTGGGCATGATGGCGAGGGCCTGTGGGCCCAGCTACTAGGGAGGCTGAGATAAGAGGACCCCTTGAACGCAGGAGTTTGCGGTTGCAGTAAGCTCAGTGGTTGATGATGCCACTGCACTCTAGCCTGGGCAACAAAGCGAGACCCTGTCTCCAAAAACAAAACAAAAAAACCTGATTTTCAGTGAACTGAAATATAGTCGCTGACTATATATACATAGCCTTTTCTAACTTGTGCCTCACCATGGTTAAAAAATCTGACATTCCTCTCAGAAATTCTGCCTTCAGTAGGTGTTTGGCTCTCACCAAGTTACAAATGGTCAGCTTTCGGTGAGATTAGGGTTAGCACAGTAGCCAGAAATGTGCAGGTTTTAAAGGTTTTCCTTTGTCTGTGATAGTTAAGGCAAGTTGAGACTAAACGACCTTCTGTTTAGGCAGGAAGGTTGGTGGTAAATAAAAAACGCTGCCGACCCTTTTACACACTCTTTTCAAGCCTAGGCCAGCAACCTGATAGAAGGAAGAGTGGCTGTGATCATGACGTCATCTTGGAATCCAGGTGCAGGCTCGCACATGTGTGCCTGTCATTCCAAGATTTTTTGCCATCATTCACTGGTTGAGTTCACAGCTGCCTGTCCAGAAAGATGGCGATCTAATTATAATTGCTCCTGAATTGATACAGAATCGGTGGAATGTTTTCCTGTGTCGGCAGATGCAAAGGTAGAGCCCTCTCTGTATTCTTTTTGCCCTGCTCTAAAGAAAAGTGAATCTGAAAGTGGGGCGTCAGGGTTACTGTGAGCTGGCAACACGCCTTCAGGATGAGCTGCCTCTCCCACCTCCTCCAGTTGCGGGGTACAAGGGGGCAGCCTCCATCTATCTGCCGTCTCTTTGATTGTGTAGCCTCTTATCCCTCCACCTTGTCCTGTTTGTAATCACCAGCTAGGTAGCTGATCCTTAAGTGTTGACTTCTAAAGCGTGCTAACAGGCAAGTGTTAGGTTCTCTTTACTTCTGCCAGTACTGGGCTCTTAGAGATCCTCGCTGCCCTCATTTCTCCAAGAGTAGGCATCATCTCTGTTACCGACTGGGGTAACACTGAATCAATCTGCTTGTATTTATGTGCCTTTATTTGGGAGGGGGGTTGTTTGTTTAATTATTATTTCAGAAGTAATACAAGTTCGCTTTAGAAAATTTAGAAAATAAAGAGAACAAAACAAGGCCGGGCGCTGTGGCTCACGCCTGTAATCCTAGCTCTTGGGAGGCCGAGGCGGGCGGATTGCTCAAGGTCAGGAGTTCAAAACCAGCCTGAGCAAGAGCGAGACCCCGTCTCTACTATAAATAGAAAGAAATTAATTGGCCAACTGATATATATATAAAAAATTAGCCGGGCATGGGCGCATGCCTGTAGTCCCAGCTACCCGGGAGGCTGAGGCAGAAGGATCACTCGAGCCCAGGAGTTTGAGGTTGCTGTGAGCTAGGCTGACGCCACGGCACTCACTCTAGCCTGGGCAACAAAGCGAGACTCTGTCTCAAAAAAAAAAAAAAAAAAGAGAACAAAACAAGATAAGAATGCTTCATAGCCATATTTTTTCTGTTATATATGTTTCTAAAACATACAATATATGCTAGCATGCCACCTAGGGCTATTTTTCCACTTAATGTCGTATTATAGCATCTTTCCATGCCATACCATATATTCTTGTTGTGACTTTGGTTTTTTGGTTTGTTTGTTTGAGACAGAGTCTCACTCTGTTTCCCGGGCTAGAGTGCCATGGCGTCAGCCTAGCTCACAGCAACCTCAAACTCCTGGGCTCAAGCAATCCTTCTGCCTCAGCCTCCTGAGTAGCTGGGACTACAGGCATGTGCCACCACGCCTGGCTAATTTTTTCTGTATATATTTTTAGTTGTCCAGCTAATTTATTTCTGTTTTTAGTATAGATGGGGTCTTGCTCTTGCTCAGGCTGGTTTCAAACTCCTGACCTTGAGCGATCCACCCGCCTCAGCCTCCCAGAGTGCTAGGATTACACGCGTGAGCCACCACACCCAGCCTATGACTTTGTTTTTAATGACAATATAATAGTCTGTTTTTTGGTCTGTCATGACTTATGTAATCAGTACCTATTATTGAATGTTTAATTATGAAATATTGAACTACTATTATGTCAATAATATATAATATGTATGATGCTGTGATGACCACCCTCTCTGGCTTAATTTTTACACACATTCATGACATTTTTCTTGTGCAAAATTCCTATAATGCAAATATTTAAGGCTTTTGATATATACAGATATCATCCTCTGCAGAGGCTGTCCAAAGTGATGCTCCCATCCACCATGTCTAGAAGTTTCTATTTTGTTGCCATCTAAGCTGGAGAATCTCTTATGATTATCGACCGTTGTTATTTACATTTGTGAATTTCTTCTTTGATATTTCTTTTGGTGTGTTCGTCTTTTTTCTAGTGTTTACGTTTTTGAAAGAACCCTTGCTCTGGGAATGATGTCGACTAACTGTCTTATTTCTAACATATGCCACACTTTCTGCATGTGGCGTTTTTCAAGCTTGGAGAGGCTTTGCTGTCTCTGACTGGGGAGACATTGCCGTGCCGCCTGCTGGCAGCCCGCACTGCCTCCTCCACCACTTCAGAAATTGGGGTTTATCCATACGTGGGAACGCCACTCGTGCACACAAAAGTGTGGCAGTTTATGCTGAGCAAAAGACAGACACAACAGGCAAATGTGTGGAGACACAATGTAGCTTAGTGGTTTCCAGGGGCTGGTGGGGTTGAGGGGAATGAGGAGGGACTGCAGATGGGCACAGAGTTTCTTTCTGGGGTGATGAAAAGTCCTAAATTTGATTGTCTTGATGGTTGCACTGCTCTGTGGACAGACTAAAAACCACTGAATTGTGTACTTTAAATGAGTGAATTTAATGGCATGTGAATTATGTGCACTTAAAGCCATTTACAAAAAGAAGATGGACACAAGAGTATACATACCATGTGGTACCACTGATAACAAGTTCTAGAATAGGCAGAAGGATCTGTGATACCAGAAGTAAAAGAGTGGTTGAGGTGGGGCAAGTTGACTGAGAAGGGTGATGGGAATGTGCCTTGGGTTGTGTTAATAGTTCTTAGTTTGGATATATGTAGTCAAAACTCATCAAACTGGGAAAAATGCATTCTAACTAAAAAAAAAACCAGTGGGCCCTAATCTCATCCCTTTTGTTTGTTTGCTATATTTTGAAAATTAATTTTCCTTTTCTTTTTTCTATTTTAATCGTTTTAAGTCATCTCACTGGTGGATAATATACCCTTAACGCCTCTGAATTGACAAAGACTCTAGCCAGTCCCTTGGGGTACCAGGTGCCACCACACCAAGGCCAGCTCTTCTTGGGAAACCACCCAAAGCCATTGTTTGCACATGTTTAATAATATAATGGCTTTAGAGAACTAACACCATGGTTCTTTCCCCATAAACTGACTGGGAATCTGTTCTACTGGGTGTTTAATTTGTGTCATAAACTTAGTCATTTTGAGACCATGGGGTTTGCCATTTCCCCTCCCAAGAGGAAGTGCCTTTGTGCATGTGAAACTTCTTGACATGCTATCAAAGTATTTTTGGAGGGCAGGGGACATTTGGGAAGCTGTGCAGATTACCTAAGGCAAATAATACTTGCCTTTATGTTGTATGGGGACTCTGTAGACAGAGAAACGAGTCTCAGCCGTGGGGGGCAGACAAGTCACCTGCCTTCTTGTCAACGCTCGGTGGTGGCTGGAGCTCTGCTCAGTGCCTTTCTTTCTTGCGGGTGCAGGAGCTGGTCAGGCTGACCATCGAGAAGCAGGGCCGGCCCTCGCCCACGAGCCCAGTGAAGCCCAGTTCCCCGCCTGGCAAGCCTGACGGGTAAGTGCTGACCCGTCACCCTGTGGTGAGGGTCACATTCGGTGGCACACGGTGAAGGATGGGACTGGGTGGGCAGCAGGTCGAAACAGGCTGCTTGAGGCCCCTGCTCTGTCCTCAGGGATAAGTCAGAGCATGCGTTTCACACGGGCGTTGAAGTGTCGCCACCTCTCAAGCTTAGCATTTCGTGTGGCCATTTCTGGGCATAGCGTGGGAGGGTGTCCAGGGACATGCACCAGCACTCTTCCTGACCAACTTCACTTCATTAGAGAGAATTTTTAAGGGTTTGGATTTGGGGGCTTGACTGTAGCCTGTCCAAACTGAAGTGTGGACAGTTGCAATAGCTTACATCCATTTCCACTGTGTGCCCTGGTGAAAGCAGGGAACCTGAGTCTGGAGCATTCTAGAGGCCCTTCAGGTCATCTGCACATGAAGATACTGAGGTGCAGAGTCAGGGACACGGCCAAGCCCCAGTGGTCTGTTAGCTGTCAAATCCAACTTGAACCCCAGGGTCCTGTGTCTAGGGAACCTGCCCTCAGCCCCAGCCCAACCCCATCGTGCCCCTGCCCTGGTCAAATGTCAACCCTCTGGGGACCCGTATGTGCTCTGTCCCACCCACGACCTTCTGTAACCCCACGCTCTTTTCCGCTTTCCAGCCCGTCTGAGCTCCCCCTGTCAGACCGTGAGATGGAGATCCTAAACAAGACGGTGGGGGCGTCACAGCCCGCCGAGTTCCTCCCGGATGCCACAGACGAAGAGGTCGCGCCCCCCAAGCCCCCTTTACCTGGTATTCGGGTGGTTGATAACAGGTAATTACCTTCCTGTTTCCCAGCAGCACCTTTTCTCGTGACGCGATGTGAGGCGTGGAGGGGAGACAAGCAGAAAAGGGGGGTGGTGCGGCTGGATGAGAACCCAGAGCCCAGGCCCTTCCTCTGTGCAAGCTCAGGCGTTGGGCCTTCCTCGGGAGGGGCATCTCCTGGGGTATCCGGTCCCCGCCTGCCTCTGCCCCTCTGAGCTCTCCTAAAGGCTTTCCTTGCTTCAGCCCAATGGCACCTGGTGTGATTTGTTATGAAAGGAAAAGAACAGGTGGTTCTTTTTTGTTGTTTTGGTATTTATGGGTTTTATTTTGGCATGAGGGGAATGAGTAGTAGTTGAAGTGTGAAAATGGGGTGTGGAGAGTCTCTGATGAAAGAACCCCACATCCTGCACCCTAATATGGCACTACAGAGCTTTCGTGTGCATTGCTCGGTCTGCCTGGATGTTCTGTCTGTTTCAGTCCTCCCCCAGCATTGCCACCCAAGAAAAGACAGTCGGCACCATCCCCTACCCGAGTGGCTGTGGTGGCCCCCATGAGTCGAGCCACCAGTGGCTCCAGTTTGCCTGTTGGAATTAATAGGCAGGTAATGCAGCCCCTATTCACTGTGTGGGAAAGTGGAGGGAGGGTTTTGGGATTTGGCTCCTGAAGCTAAAAGAAACCCAGTGGTCTTTCAGGCCCTGGTGTTTGCCAGGTCTACACACGTTCTTCAAGGGCATCCTTCTGGCTCCAGGACATGGTAGAAGTTCTTGTATGGAGTGTAGGGGCAGGGGGCAGGGGGAGGCTAGAGCCAAAGGGACATCTCCTGGAGACATCTGAGCCCCAGCCCCAGGGTCCTCCCTGGCCACATACCTCAAACACTACAACAGCTGCTTTCTGATCTGTCTGTCGTTTTATTGCTGATGTCAAAGACAGTTTCTGAGTTTGGCAGTACTTCCTTCTCTAAGTAAATGTACTGACCACCCCATCCCTGGTCTCTCGTTTCTCAGGAGTGACTCGGATTTGTTTTTATTTTTTCACCCAAGGATTTTGACGTTGACTGTTACGCACAGAGGCGACTGTCCGGAGGCAGCCACTCGTACGGCGGGGAGTCACCCCGCCTCTCCCCCTGCAGCAGCATAGGCAAGCTCAGCAAGTCAGACGAGCAGCTGTCCTCTCTGGACAGGGACAGCGGGCAGTGCTCCCGGAACACAAGCTGTGAAACACTAGGTGAGCGCCAGCGTCGTCCTGCCTCGTCCTCTCTCGGGGGCTTCTTAGGGGTCATAGGGTCCTAGGTTTGAGTCCCAGGTAATGCCAGTCATTGACTACATGACTTTGGCCAAGTCATTTAAAACCCGAGCCTCAGTTTCCTCACCTGCAAAATGAGGATTAGCAATATCTGCTCCTCAAGGAGGTTGAAAGTTTAAATAAAACAACAGTGTGAAACCACATCACAGATACTCAGGTGGTGGCTGCTGTCAGTTAATCTGTCCGCGTGCAGTTGGATGCGCCTTGCCAGAGGTAAGTGCTTAGAGCTCTATGTGACAGGGTGCCCTGGCAGGGTTGGAAGGCAACGAGCCGTGCTCCTCACCACCTGTGGGTCAGTGCTGGGCCTGTGCCATGTGGCCCAGCAGAGTCCGCAGGGTGGCTGGCAGGGCGTCAGGAGCGGTGGGCTGTTGGTGTCCCACAAACTGGTTTTTCATTTCAGAGAATGTATCCCAAGAACATAATCAAGATTTCTGTCCAAGGATGTTATTCCCAGTGTTACTGGTAGTGGCATGCTGGAGGCGCTCTAAGTCCTCACCGGTAGGAGATCGGATGAGCCGTGGCATGTTCGCCTGGGGGATGATCTGTAGCTGTCAAAGGCCACGGACAGTGACGCGTTCTGCAGCAGCAGCCCTTGCTAAAAAAAAAAAGAAAAGAAAATCACTTATGATACGTTGATAAATGAAAAACGTCCAAGACCATTTGCATAGTATTTTCTCAGTTGAGTTTTTGAAAGAAGGAATCCTGGAGGAGAAAAAAAAGACTTTTAATAAAATAACATCAAAATGTAAATAGAGATTATGGGTTATGGGAATGTGAGTGATTTTCATTTTCTTGATAGTTTGCCATGTTTTCTACAGTGATCATATTGTTTTTGTTTTTTTTTAAGTAAGAAATTCAAAAAATTTAGGAAAGTACAAAGAATAGTATAGCAAACAGCCACATTTCCATCTGTTTTACTTTTATAATCAGGGAGAGGAAGGAAGAATATAAAATATAAAACATGGAGACAGGTTTTTGTCACACACTCATGAGTGAGGTTGGGCGAGGCGAGAAGGCAGGGCCGCGTGTTTCCAGGGACCTCGAGGCTAACAGGCGTTCTCCCTGTTGTGCTTGCAGATCACTATGATCCTGACTATGAATTCCTCCAGCAAGACCTCTCCAACGCAGACCAGATACCTCAGCAAATGGCCTGTAACCTTAGCCCGCTGCCGGAGTCCTTGGGGGAGTCTGGGTCTCCGTTTCTTGGCCATCCTTTCCAGCTGCCTCTTGGCAGCTGTCCCCAGCCCGAGGGGCCCTTGGCCCCAGGGCAGCCAACAGACACGCCGCCCGCCCTCCCCGAGAAGAAGCGCAGAAGTGCGGCCTCCCAGACCACGGACAGCTCTAGCTGCAGGGTATCCTACGAGCGGCACCCCTCACAGTACGACAACATCTCCGAGGACGACCTGCAGAACCCAGCCCCGATCCAGTCCGTACCCTACACGCCCTTTGCTGCTGTTCTCCCATTTCAGCAAGGAGGTTCCTCAGCCCCTGTTGAATTTGTGGGTGATTTCACTGCTCCTGAATCAACAGGTGACCCAGAAAAACCACCTCCTCTGCCAGAGAAGAAAAACAAACACAGTAAGCTTTTATTGAGCTGTGCCATGAAGTGCATTTTATAACCTAAAATGGTGACAAGTTTTATTTAAGCATTTGACTAAAGTCAAACCAGTGGCCTCCTTATTTCATATAAGACAGGACCATGGGTACGTGGACACTTCTGGGAGCCTGGCTTTGTCATTCCTGGTGGTAGTTTTTAAAGCCCGATCAGCTGACCTTTCCTTTATGGTCTCTGTAAAATCTCTGGCCCAAGTGCTTCTCTTTAGATGGCAGTCAGCCAGCCTGGCCTGAGCACACAGGGACAGAGGGGAATGAGTGTCCTGGTGTGCAGGACAGCTTCGCAGCAGCATCTGCGGAAAACAATGTTGTGGGCGTTTGATTTTGAGCAGAACTTGCCTGGTGCCCACAGAGCGATTTCCAGGCACCCTGAGCAGAGGGCGCACTGTCCTCTGTTGCAGAGGACAGACACTCACAGTGACCTGGAGCTGAGTCTGCCTGGCAGGAGTAACTGAGGACCTCCTGGACCAGACAGTTTAATATATGATGTTATGAGGACCCAGAGGTGGAGTTGAAATTTTGAACGTTTGTTTATATTTTGAGTATTTTCCAACTGTAAATTTGCCATAAAATTACTAAGGAGAGTTCCACTGAAATTTCTGTTTTCCCCTGGCTCCCCTGCCTGCCTCACATTGTCGAGAGTTGCCTGGCCCTCTAGGCCCCCACCCTGTCCCCACTTTGCTGACACAGCTCTGCTTTGATTTCCTTTGGCAGACCAGCTGTCACCACTCTGACGTGTGAGGCCACGTCAGTCCCACAGCCCCAGGGTTCCCTGGCCTTAGTCGAAGCATCCAACAGAGAATTTCTACAAACTAGAAATGGAATCTCGATTCCAGATTCCCAAATGAGAGCATCTGAGTGGTTCAGCTTAGAGCTGAATCCTGTTCTTAAAGAAGGGAAGCCCTGGCTCAGTTAAACCCAGCAAGGACTGTCCTGAGGGCCAGCCAGGCAGTCCGTGGCGGGAGGAGGCTGCTGATGGTGTAACATATTCCCAGCTCCTCACTGGGTGTTACCCAGCTTGTACAATGGCCTCAGTGGTGTGGTCCCCCCACCAGAGGGAAAGCTGGCTCTGTGGGGCCAATGATGTCATCCCCATCTGTTGTGTAAATTTGCTCATTAGAAACCAGGGCACTTGGGGAAGGGGGTGCAATGGCAGTGCAAGGAATGCTTCCCTCTCTGCCTCCCCCAGCACGGGCAAGTGCTCAAAGCGCTGTTGGCTGCCCCTTCCACCCGCCCTGCCAGGAGCAGTGTGCCATGTGGGCTTCACCCTCTTTCCTTCCCTAGGCATCCTCCGAGTTCAGACATGGGGCAGGATGACATGCGTGCAGACTGTGGCAGGTGCCAGGGATTCTTACCCTTCCAGCTCCTAGTAGAATGAGTGTGGGCAGCCGTCCTCATGCAGGGTCTGTAGAAAAGAGAAGGAAAGGGAGGGGTAGCCATTGTTTCCTTTCAAACAGTTGTGTGTGGCTATATGTCTTTCTATTAATTTAGGCCACCATTTTGAGGTTTTGGCCCACTCCTCAATGTCTGCAGCACTCATGCCTGCAAACCTTTAACAACTCCCAAGAGCTGCAGGCATGGCATGGTCTCAGCTAAAGCTGCACACACCCCGTCATAGGTAGTCATTGCAGCCACCTGCAAAGCCGGCATTATTAGCTCATATTTATAGAGAAAGAAACTGGAGTTTAGATGACTGAGCACTTGCCAAGATCCCCAAGCAAGTGGGTGGCAGATCTGGGGGTCAGAGCTAGGCCTGTGTTGTGCCAGCATGTCGCACTTCCTGTAGGGTGACAAGGAAGGAGTTCCACCCTCTTTCATTGAGCTCCCGTCAGTTTTCAGTAGTGACCTCCATGCAGAGGATAGTCTCTCTGTTCCCTGTGAGAGAGCCCCAAACTTGGGCATCCCAAGGCTCTGTCCTAGCCCCGAGTCTGCTCTTCACTCCTTGAGGGAACTCTCAGAGGGTTCTATTCCATGACCCTGTGGAAAATGCCTCAAAAGATTGCTTTGAGGGCAAGAAGGAAATACTCATTGTTCCATGTGCATGACCCATGCTGGACCAAGTTTATTCATGTCACTGCCGATGTTATAGCATGTCTTCATCACAATGGTCACAGCTCCTCATGCCAAGGGCAGCTCCGTGAGTCCCTTGTGTCAGATGAGCTTCCTGGTCACTGCCTGTCACCCAAAGTCCACACATGCCTGGTGCCCACTGCAGTGCCAGCCACCAGCTCTGCTGGCCTCTGAGCCACTGCTGGGCTGCCTTTGAGATGGACCACGTCCTCCTTGTTTGTAGATCTGAAACCCCTCGCTGCGGCTTCTCTGTGCAGCATCAGGAGTTCATAGAGCCCTCGTGGAAAGATCATGGTTCTGCTGAAGAGGCAGCCAGAGGTGGTTGTGGTTAGAGTTTTCAGGGAGCAGTCGGTTTTCAGGATCTCCTTCCCAGGCTGGAATCTTCCTCTGAAACTTGGTGTCATGGGTGGTGTGGTGTTAAAGGGGACGCATTGTGGGGCTGGGGAGCTGCACTTTTCTTTTAGCAGCAGCAGCTGAGAGAGGAAGCCATCCTTTCCTGTCCCTGTTTTCAGCCAACTTCTGCTTGGCACTTGTTGGAGCTAATAAATTCTTACTTATTCTTTTAAATAAAGAAGGTGACTTTGAACCCTTTTCTTCAGTGAGGGGCACCAGAAAGACATGCCTGGAGAGAGGGCATTTCCTACATACCTAGACCCCAGACGCAATTGGGGGAAGAAATGGACTCTCTGTGACCGTCTTCCTCAGCTCGGTGTCTGCTTTTCCTTAATTTCCTGACTAGTTTAAGTTTTCAGTGAAGCCCCCAACTTTGTGGTTATTTGAAAATACAAAATTCAGTACTGCAGAGCTGTCTGTGCCACTCTTTACTGGATCTGAATGTCAGCTCCACCTAGCAGGTGTTCATGGCACTTGTGACGTGACCCAAGGGGAAACTGGCAGCTCGGTAGGTGACTAAGACTAGCTGTTCCTGTGGCTGTCCTGGTGCCCACCGCACGCTTAGGTCCAAACCCAGGGCCCTTTTACTTCCCAGCTCTTGTCAAAGTCCAGAGTTTGCATTAGGGTTCCCTCTTGGTGTTGTACACTCTGTGGGTTTGGACAAATATATAATGACACATATCCACTGTTGCAGTATCATACAGAATGTGACTTCACTGCCCTGAAACTCCTGCGCTCTGCCCATTCCTCCCAAAGATCCTCTCAGTGGAAACCCCGCTGGCTGCCATGGGAAGAATCAGGGGTGGGGGTTCTCTTGCACAGCAGCCCCCAGCCCTGCTCCACCCCAGCTCTGTCCGGGCATGGGAGGTGCAGAGCTGCCACCACCCCATCTGTCCCACAGTGCTGGCCTACATGCAGCTGCTAGAGGACTACTCGGAGCCACAGCCCTCCATGTTCTACCAGACGCCGCAGAACGAGCACATCTACCAGAAGAAGAACAAGCGCCTCATGGAGGTTTATGGCTTCAACGACTCCTTCAGCGGGGGGGACTCCATCCAGGAGCTGGCGCCACCGCCTGCCCTGCCCCCCAAGCAGCGGCAGCTGGTAAGTGGCACCCTCCCAGTCCCAGGTCCCTGCACTGCCCATGGTGACCAGAAAGTTCAATCTTAGCAGGTCTCTAGGAACTAGAACGACCCTCCTTTGCAGCAGGTTTGACCCTCTTTTCAACCGTGGCGGGGCCCTTGGTTTGTGTGTTGAATGCACCATGTCCCACGTGGGTGCTTTCCTTCCTCCTAAGCTGCTCGCCAGTGACCTGTCTCCATCTGCCATCCCCACCCTGAGGGCGGGGGCCTTTATTTCCCAGAGCTGCCCCATGCAGCTGGGACAGGCTTGTACTGAGAGTGTTTGCTTTCTCTGCTGACAGTCTCTTGTAGTTTTTCTTTCTTCTATGGCTCCAACATAGACCTCCCAGAAAGGAGGGACTCAATCAGCACAGGGCATGGTCTGTGCACGGCCATCTGTGGACTTGATTAACATAACGGGCCCGACTGTGTGGAGTCACTTACATCCCAGCCCTGTCCGGGGATGGCCCAGTGAAAACAAGCTCCACTGAAGCAGGATGGCTTTAGACAGAGCCACTCTGTGTTTCAGACACACACTCTTCCTCCTTTAAAAAACACGCCCTGTGTTGAGGGCTCCCATGTACATAATGAAGTGCAGGTCAGCACAGTAGGCAGGCTGTTCCACCGTGGGCCGCCCAACAGGCTCTGGGAATGTGCGTGGGCACACTGGGGGTACCTGTTGCTGCCTCCAAACCTTTTTCTCTTTGCTACCAGTTGATGAACCCAGCAGGCCCTAGTCAGGCTTTAGGATTAGAGCCTCCTGCCAAGTCCTGCTCCCCAGGAAGAGCACACACAGAAGGGAATCCTTGGCCTATTCAGAGCTGCATGTGCTGCTGGGCAGTCCAGTAGCTTTCTAACGAGAGAGGGGACTGGTCAGTGCATCAGAGCCATCTTTTATCCATTGCAAGAGGACATGGAGGTTCCATTCTGACTTTTCTGGGAGGCATCTACCAGCTAGAGGACAAACATCCCTTGGTCATTCCTTGTAGCGCCTGGGGCTCAGCCTGGTGCTGGGAGTCCCCGAGCGTCCCCGAGCCTTCCTACACTCGGTTGGCTCAGACTGACTGAGCAAGCTGTTTTCCTCTCAAGCCCCAGCCAGCCTCTTCAGAGGCAGCCCCATCCAGGGGAGGGAAGGCTGAGCTCCTGCCGCTTGTCAGCCATGTCACCCAGGCCGTGTTCAGGGTCTCAGTTCTTCGCTTGCCCTGCCCACCCCCTGAACATCGAACAGGAATCTAAATTGCTCTGAAAATGTTTCCAGAAGGGATCTCCACCATGGAAACTTAATGCCTATTCTGGGGACTCCTCACCTGCAATGCTGGGTTAGAGCTGCTGAGCCAGGTTTCACTGAGAGTTGAAACATCCTCAGCCCCTCCTGCTGGTGTCCTCATGCCCCTGAGCCATGTGTGGCATCGTCTCCGCATGGTGGAGCCCACAGGCTTCTGAGTGTTTGGAGACAGGTCCCTAGTGAGTGTGCAGAGTCAGAAGCTCTGAGGGAGCACGCTAGCCCTCATGCCGAGCCGGTGGGGCAGGAGCGAGCTCAGCCCCAGCAGGCCTATGAGGGACCCCCTTGCTGAACACCTTCCCAGGTAAGCACTGGAACTTTCTTAGGGTCTTGCACTATCCTCACCACAGCTCCCGGCATGCCCATTGTGAGTAAATTGAGGCTGAGAGAGCCAGAGAGATTTACTCCAAGCCCACAGCTGGAATTAGACCTGGGAACTAAACCCAACTCTGACTGAAGCCCAGGCACGGCACAAGACAGGCCTCCAGCTGCTGCCATGCCCCCTCTCAAATGCAGGTGGGGGGGAGCTGTCCACATTTTACAAACCAAAATGGTGGCAATAATTACAGCTGTCAGTCCATGTGTGATATAGCGGGCACGACTGCAAGTGCTTCATACCTGTCACCCTGTTTAACCCCCAGCAGCCTGCACCAGAGAGCCGGTGTCAGCCCACCTCATAGATGGGGAGCCTGAGGCATGGAGATCTTTAAGTGATGCCCAAGGCCAAGTAGGCGATACAGGCGTGGTCCAGGCTCAAAGCCAGCTGGCCTGAGCCCCAGTCTGAACGCTGAGGAAGCGTGTGTGACCTCATGTGTCCCTTCCCCACAGAGGAAGGAGCAGCTCAGAGCCGGGAGTCTACCCCGGTCTGTGTGCCTCCGGCCCACTTGTCCTTCCACCTGACCTGCCTCCAGGGGACGCGGTGTGTGTGATCTAGCATGGAGAGGTGGAGGAGGGTGCCCTTTCCTTCAGGTAGCCTTGGGCAGGTATTTTTGATCCCTGAACTGGGCCCAGAACCTGTCCCTCTCCAGAATGTCCCTGAGCACAGGTAGGTAGCAGCCTGCACAGCCTTTCCCAACACGCCTGACTATTCTCTGCTTCTCTCCCCTCCCGCCTCCCCTCCTCCCTCTGTCCAGCAGGCCTCCTATGCTGCTTCTTCCTTCTCCTCTGTCTCCTACTGTGTCCAGCAAACTAAAGTGGCCTTCACCCCCGAGGACGGCAGTGCCACTCAGGGCCTCAGTGTGTCCGTCTCTAACTCCTTTCTCAGCCGGCACGGCAGCTTGCCCGTGCCCTCGGTGAGTCACTCCCTGCTGCTCTCTTCTTGGAAACTCGGGCACAGGATCATTCCTGTGTGGCCTGCGCCTCGTGGATCTCTGTTCTGCTGCCCTTTGCGCACTCACCTTTCTGCAGACCCTGCACGTGGAGGGGAAGGGTATGAACAGCTGGTCCTCTGGGGTCTTAGGGACTGTGTGACATGTCCAGGTGGAGGATGGGGGCACAGGGGATGTGAGTGGCCACATCTGGAATGTCACCACTCTAGCATAAACTGGCAGAGACGTGGCCTTTTTATTCCAGTCTCCCACTGGGCCTCGGGAGCAGCCCTCGAAGTGTTATATATTTAAAAATAAACATTCCTAGCATAGAGATCTGGGCTGAGGGGAGTGGGCTTTGCCAGGGGTGTGACAGTTTGAGTTTGAAGACTGTGTCAGTTAGTTTTGGCTGCACAACAGACCACCTCAAATTTAGTGGCTTAAGATGACAATAACTGTCTGTTGTTGCTTAGGACACAGATTAGCAGGGTGGTTGTGCTGATCTGGCCCAGCATGGCTAATTCTGACTGGACTTGCTGACATCTCTGAGACATTAGCTGGGACAGTTGGGCAGATTGGGTCTGACCTGTTGCCCGGCCTAGCCTGGGCTTGTTCACATGGCAGCTGGCAGGGCTCCAAGAAAACAAACGGAAGCATGCAAGGCCCCTTAAGGCCTAAGCTCAGAAGTGGCACGATGCCACTCCCATTGCAGTTGCTCAGTTAATCACAAGGCTGGCCCAGAGTCGGGGAACAGAGAAGTAGATGCCACCTCTTGCTGGGAGTTCCTGTTGAGTCTCATTGCACAGGGCACAGGTCCGGGAAGGGGAATAAGTTGCAGCCATTTCTGTAAACAGTTTACTACTAGAGCATAGGGGGTACTGACACTTAACACAGGGTCTTTCACTGGAGCCTGCATCTGTCCAGCAACCTGAACAGCCCCCATTCTCCCTGTAGTCCATCAAAATGAAACTGAGCAGCAGAAGCAAGGACTTAGAACAGCTCCTGGTCCTACTCGAGGTCAGTCAGGCCTTGGGTCCTCCCGGGCCTCGGAGTCTTTCCTTTGGGATTGTCCTTTTCCTTACCTCATGTGTCAATCATGAAGATTAAATAATACATGAAACGGCTGGGCACAAAGTAAGTTTAGAAAGTGTGTTGTTACCCTTCTTGTTCTTATTACCGTAGTAGTAAGAGTTCTGGATTCTAGTCTTGTTCTGCTTCTGATTTTAGCCATAAGAGTTGGGCAAAAGCTGTTTTCCCCCTCTATAAATGATGGGTTTGGACTGGGTGACTTTTAAAGATTTATCCAAGCTCAGGCTCCCAGTTTGTTTTTGTCTGGTTTCCATCTGTGTGCAGGGTTGGCAGTCCCATTCCCAAGGTCCTCTGTGTCCAGGGCCAAGGTGGTCCTGCGGTTGTGAGGGCTGTGGAACGCATTCTTCCCTTGGGTGCTGGGACCTGACTCTTCAGAGCCCCGAGCAACTCTGCTCGTGCTGGGAAGGCCAAACACCTCCCCCACCCCACCCTGCCACGCCACACAGACGCCCTTGGCTTCCTCAGAAGGCACCTCTGGCAAGCTCCTTTCACAAATCTTGCAAAACTTGGCTTTCAGACAATCTTGGCTCTTGGCTGGTTTTTTCCCCTCCTCTAAGTTTCTACAATATCCCTTTTGAGCAGTTACAAGTTAGAGGACTATGAATGAACTGGACTGTTTGCTACAAAATTAAGGAAAATTTGGGGGCATTCTAATTAAGCTTGGGCATGAGTACATCATTGTTTTTATACCTGGAACGTGCAGGAGTCTTAAGACATCTTGCATCTAAAATAATGCACCCTCAGCACCTACTCCACAAAGTAGGCCAAAGCTAATAAGGTGCTTTATTTGTCAGAAGGACAATGCCTCAAAAACTGTTAGCAATGGCCTAAGTGTTCAGAACATTTGACATCTGATATGCTGAACCCCAGAGAAGTGATTTAATATGATGCCAACATGTTCTTCATGTATTCTGAGGTTAAATTCTGAGATAAGCCCCAGATGTAGGGCTTTGGATTACTGTTATTCCTGAATTTCTGTATTCTGTTGTTCCTGGGCCTGGGTCATTGGTTCAGCATGGAATTCCGAAGGGTGCCTCTTGGGGACACAGTAATCAACAAATCTGAAAACACCTTACATGGCTCTTGGCATAGTGGGCTGTTACTTCTGCTAAAAGGTTTTAACCATTAAAAACCTGTTGCCAAGGGGATTTATAGAGGAATAAACCTGTGCTGAACAATTTAAATTGAGCTAGGTGCTGAGAAGTATTCTTGTTCTCTCTTCTCACAATCCCAGGGTTGGTTTTAATTCAGCAAACTCCGGACATTGGCTTGTATTGGGTCAGGCTGCCAGAGGGATCCAGAGCACGGAGTTGGCCCCAAAAAGGGCTTGCGATTCAGGAGACAGCATAAGGCAAGCATAAAAGAGACTCCTGTCCAGGCAAGGTGTGAGCAATGGCATGAGAGCGACAGTTAGTAGAAACCTCGTGGGGGGGCACAGGGGGGCCAAGGTCAGGCAGCACCTCATGGAGGTTGGTGGTGGGGCGTGAGCTGTGGCTTGGAGGGCAGTTAGGACTTCAGGGAGATAAGGAAAGTGAGTCAGATATTCTGAGCAGAGGGCTCCCTGATGGATGGAAGTGTCCCTGCCAGAAGGGCATCTGGGGTGTAATTGCTTGAGGAGTAAGGTCATGGAGGGTGGTGACAGCAGCCAGCCTCCCTAGGCTTCCCCGGGACCTCCACTTGGGGAAGAGCCAGTGGCCCCCACACTGTAGGCTCTGCCTTTACCGCACCCAGCTATTTTCTGAGCTTCTCCCTTGTCAGCTCAGCCCCTGAGTTGGTCCCCAGGTGGATTCCTCCTGCTGTTCTGGGCGTGCCCGCCCTCGTCTTCACAGGCTACAGCCGGTCTGCTCAGCTCCCATTCCACAGCCACCCTCCGTTTCCTAACCTGCGCGTAATCCTGGGAGACTCCAACACAAGCATCCAAACTCCGCCATGTGGTCTTAGGGACATTCATACCAGCTTGATAAAATACATGTGTTGGGGGGGAACGAGCAAGTGAGTGAGGCAAGAAAGATGTGGAGGCCTGAGAGGCCAGCCACACCTTTCTAACTCTGTCCTGGCCCTGTCAGGTTCCATGTGTGCCTGCCACACAGGGGCGCTGCTGGGGGTCTGAGTGATGGCCTTACCGTCCCTCCTAGAAACTGGTGGTGCCTGAGCTTTCTGGCCTCTTCCTGTCCCTGGACTCTCGCTCAGTGGCTTTCTGGGCTGCTGCCTGCTACGTCTCATGGCAGCCCTGCCCAGGGGGGCTGCCCACTTCAGCCTCTGCTCCAGTCCTCCCCGCCCCCACCTGGTTCGCACAGCCCTCTCCTGCAGGTCCTTTCCCTGGCCCTGGTCTTCTCTGGTTCTGAACACTGGTGGTGCGAATCTTAAGGGTTTTGGATTTGGTCCATGTTCACTTTGTCTTTGACCAAGAACCAGGGAGACTCTCAGTAACCATTCTGGTTGCCATTGCCCTTCACGTATTACAGTGTTGGTTGGCATTAAAACAATCACCTTCCCCATCCTCCAAACTATTTTCTTTTATATTTTTTCTTTGCTAGCTGTAATTTATAGATATTTACTGTCACCAAGAGAGCTGTTTGGATGCTAGAAATCTGTTGAAATTCTTTATCGTCTTGGCTTCCAGAATTCTGGATAAGTAAAACTGCTAGCAGCACAAAGTTTTGAGTAGAAGTTATGTTGAAATGCTCATAATAACTCATTTGTTTTCTAAAAAAAATCTTCAGGGTAAGAAAGTCAAGTGTGTGTCATCCTGAGAACTTCAATTTTTTTAAAAGGATCTATAAAGCAGCTGGTATCCCACTCTGGGCAAACGAGTCATTTTCTGAGATGTTGGGCCCAGACTTTCGTGGATCAGCACATATGCTCTTAACAGAAGGTCTGAGCTTCGTGCAGACACGTGGTCTCTCCACCATGGCCCAGCCGTCTCCTCGCTGCAGCCCAGCCAGGGCTGTCTCCTCCCCCACCAACCTCCTGGCCACCAACCACCCCGAGGATTTATCCAACAGCCATCACAGACGCCACGGGCACACTGACCAGTCTAAAGGTCAGACAGGAAAGAGGAGAGATGATGGGAGAAGAGGAGAGAGGGGTGGGTGTGAGAGGGGGAGGGCCCACGTGGGGACTGGAGAACAGTCCTGTGGCTCTCAGGCTGCCTGGCACGGCAAGGTGTCTGTCCACCTGTTGCAAACAGTACATTCCCACAGTCCTTGCCTTTGTCCTTGTTTCTCCCTGATGTCATCTTGTCTTTATGGGCTTCCTGTCCTGGTCAGAGCCGAATCACATCGAGAGATAAAAAGGAGGGACATGTGTGGGCAGAGCCCCGTAGCCACCAGTCAGGGAGGTATTTCTGAGAGTGGCCTCCAGGGAGGCCTTCCGACTTTCCTGGGAGTGGTCCTCCGTGGGGGACCCAGGAATGTGCTGCTGTCCCTCATGTAAGGAGGCTCTATAGGGCCTCTTCACCTCACTGGTGGGGTGTGTCCCTCCTTGGCCTGGTGTGACTCGTGTACTGTGTAGGGGCTTCAGAGTATTTCAAGTCACTGGCTCCTAGACTCTCCCCGGTCCCTGGGTTTGGCAGCACAGCACAGTCCCCGAGTCCCAGCCCGGCCCTGCTGAGTCTCAACTATTTCTGTGCAGTCTTCTCTCCTTGCCAGGCTCAGGCTTTCTGACATCGGGGATTGGGTGGCGTGTGGCAGCAGGTGGTCATTGTTCGTTCAGTCTTGTCCTACTGAGTTCACTTTTGCCCTTCCCTGTCCCTACTATCATGTGAATGTTTCCACTCCACAAGGAACGGAAATGTCATCTTGTCATCCCCACCACGTGTTCATCATGTGTACCCATGCACAGTCACCAGGTCCTACTGAGGCTGCACAAGTCTTCGGCCTTGGGCTGGTCCACTC